GTGGCTCGCCCGCTTTCAAAGGCCGGCAAAGCCTTTGGTCGTCTGCGAAACCAAAAGCGTATATGCTCACCGCATGGGCTTTTTAGGTAACGTGCGTGTACACGAGGGCGGAATTTGCCGCAGCCTCGAAACACCTGGAACATCCTGCACACCCACCATGCCTAGCCTTACACACAACCAGCCGTCCACCGCACCCACGACCAGAAGACAAACCGCCGTCGACGCCGCCGCCATCACCGAAACCGACACTTGGGTGATGGAGTCATAAATGGACTGCCCCACGTGGAAACTAATTCTGGCCTCAATCGTCCGCCCTCTCCTCCTACAAAATAAGATCAACTCAGCACGACAGGTGTTTGGAGTGAAATCTACTGGTGCCGATTCCATATCGGCGCAAGTCCACAAACCCTTTAGTGTAGGCATCGGCTGCACTTTCGGAAGATGTGGAGCACAGACGACTACCGTAAGACTTCATTGCAGTGACCTCATTGTCTGCCATTGCACACAAAAAGGAAGTTCACAGACCACGGAAAATTGTCAAGAAATTTCCCTCTGCAGCTTTGTCAGCCGCATTGCGTTCCGTCGATGTCCAATAAAAGTATGCCGAAAACATGGGACTGATAGAATGGCTGGAAATGATTTTAACAGAATAGTTCCTTAGATGGAAATGGAAAGCCCACCAAGACCTGTCTCGCGAAAATGCTAGAAAGAAAAATCCGTCGAGATTCCGAAACGCAATCTGTAAAATTTTATCGTATGACAAAATGGTACTTGCCTATCCTCAAAGTGTAACAAGTTAAAAATTGCTGATCAGGTATAAAACCTACAATCGGTGACCTGCGACTGGCTGAATGTGTCATGTGAGATCGTCGGCAACAACGACCTCCCAAATTCCAGGTCAGGGAGACTGAATGTGACAGACAGTCTTTACCGATGTAGAGTACACAGTTGGGCTCACAGGCAACCGGAGCAGAAGGTGCCTTGAGCGAGTGCCTAGCTCGACAGTGAATAGTGGCAGCCTCTCTGAGCAGTCAGTGAGGAAAGAGGCATCAAAAGATGTGAAGCTGGCAGTTTTGATCACAATGATCAGTTTCTCTATTGAAACCCAGGCTGTAGTTAACCAGATAACCTAGAAGAATATGACTGCTAATCATCCAGATAATCTCTAAAAAAGTACAGTAAATGTAAAGTAAGTCCGGCCGAAGTCTTTAAGTTGACGGACTCCAGCGTATCTGGAAACACTCCGCGTAAGACACGAGAATCGGTACCCCCGTGTGACGGGCGATTTTGCGGCAAATGCCAGGGGGTACCTATTTCCGTGTCCTGGGCACAACATTAACCCGAACCCTAAATTTAAACCCAGCATTAGCATTAGTCTTAACCCTGGTTTTAACTATAAACATAGTCTTAAACCTAGTCCCAATCTCCCTGGAATTTATCACAAGTCCACCTGTAATGTGGAAGTACCTGGCCCCATGTCCTACTACATTTCGATGTGTGAGCGTTATTTGAGAGGGAGACATAATCAGAGGCCACAAGTAGGAGGTAAACTTCCCGCTAGTGAGAAGTGTGGGCAATATTCCGGAAATCCCAACCCTCTACTTTACCGGAAATATTCTGGGTTACATCGCAGTTGGTAGCCAGGAACGGCGAGACGTACAGCCAGGTCCCTGTACTACGGGAAAGATGGGAAAGGGGGTTCTATAGGTGGGGTAAATGGAAGTGCTGGTAGAAGAATGCTGGAGTTTATGGGAAAAAATAAAGTTACTAGGGAAAGTGTTAGGAAGTTTGAAGTAGACGGAATAATGGCAGAAATATAATCCTAAACTGAACAGTAAAATACAACTCTGATCGCAACCGTAAAGACTAAACCAAAGCCACAAAAACGAAACCTAACCAAATCCGAAAACACAAAGCTAAACCAAAACCCAGCCACAGCCCTAAGCCTAAACTTGACCGTAAACTTAACCCTAACCCAAATATTAACCCCATACAAAGCCTTAATCTTAACGATAAACTTAACCCTAACCATAAACCTAACCTTCAAACTAACCCTAACCCTAAACCTAACCCGAAACCTTACCTTAAAACTTACCCCTAACTCTAAGCTTAACTTTAACGCTAACATTAACCTTAACCCAAATCTTGACCATAAACCTAACCTTAACCATAACCCGAAACCTAACATTAACCTTAAACATAACCTTGACACTAACCGCCACCCTAACCAAAAACTTTACCCCAGCCCTAAGCCTAAACTTCAGATTAACCCTAAAATTATCCCTAAACCTAAACCCAAACTTAAACCAACCCTAAACTTAAACTTAAACGTAACCCTACATATAACCCTAACCACAAAACTGACCACAAACATAACCTTAAACCTAACGAAAACCCTAACCCTAAGGCTAAACTTCGCACTAACCCTAAACGTATATCTACTCCTCAACCTAAGCCTAACCCTAAAATTATCACAAACACTGACCATAACCCCAACCCTAAACCTAACCCCAAAACATAACCCTGAACATGAACTTAATCCTAAACTTAACGAGAACCCTAAGCTTAACCCTAACCCTAAAGTTAACAACAACCTTAAACCGAACCCTAAAGCTAAACTTAAACTTAAACCTAGCCCGAAACTTAACTCTGACTCTAAACATAAACCTAACCCTAACCCTAAACTTAACCTTGAACCTAACCCTAAACTTAACTCTGACTCTAACCTTAACCCTTATCCTAACCCCAACCCTAACCCCAACCCTAAACCTAACCCTAGCCCCAACCCTAACCCTAAGCCTAACCCCAAACTTAACCCTAACCCTAAACTTAAGCCCAACCCGAAACTTCACCCTAAGCCTAAACTTAAACCTAACCCTAACCTTAACCCTAAACCCAAGCTTAGCCCTAGCCCTTAACTTAACCCCAACCCTAAACTTAACCCTAACCTCAACCTTAACCCTAGCCCTAACGTTAACCTTAACCTTAACCCTCATCCTAGCCCTAACCTTAACGGTAATCCTAACGGGAACCTAAACCCTAAACCTAACACTGAAACCTGACCCTAAAACGCAAACCCTAGTCCTAAAACTTGATCTACGCCTAACCCTAACCCTCACTAAACCCAACAGCCTGACCGAAACGGGCGACCTGCCTAACTCAGTAAGAGCACACCTACTGACAATAAGTCCCCTATACAAGGTAAGCACACCTACAGATAACAAGTACGTACGTCGACAGTATCAACGTATAATGCCTGGCTACCAACTGCGATCTTACCATATTATGCTCTACGCCATTATTTACCATGTCCGAAGTGAAATACTGAGAGAAATGCTAAGGATTCCACCTACTTGGCAGTGCTGTCAACGTGTTCCAAGTTTTCCGTCTGGCTCGACGAAAGGACATCTGAGTCTGAGCTTATACACCCTCTTTTCCTAGACCTTACTGAAGTAGAAGACAGAAAATTGCATTGCAAAGTCATGTAAAAACCAATGTGCTTGTGCGGATTTTACCGGGTGCCTCCTCGAACTTAATAACGATATCATTAAGCGTTACCTCTTAGATGAGGGAGTCTCCAGGTCCTTAAAATTAAAAATTGAGTGGAGAAAGGGTGCGTCTTTGACCCTACACGCCTTACTGTTTAGTTGCTGTGAGCAGTAGAACGTGACGCATCTCTCCCAAATTACCCGAAATGTAAATTCTGATCCGCATTGCTTTAATACTGCCTAACAGACTGTTGAGAAGCGTATCCTTGAAGCATTGGTGGTAC